CTTTAGCTCAAGGAAGGCATCCTGACATTCCTGAGTCTAGGCGAAACTTACCTTATCAGAGAGCTTATGGAGGGGGCCTGCAATGGTGGCAAAACCTGCCACAAATCTTCTTTGGTAGGATGCTAGCCCCAGAAAGCTACTTAGTTCTTCAACATTGCAAGGTACTGGCCAAGTTTTAACAGGCTCCAACTTCTGTGGATCTGGGCCTTCCTCCTCTGTGGATATCACATGTCCCAAGAAATGCACTTCCATGTAAAACACCTGGCATTTGGCAGGTTTAATTTTTAAATTGGCCTTTCTTAGTTTTTTGAGCTCTGCTTCCAACTTCTGCAAGTGTTCCTGGAAAGTTTGGCCGATCACAGTGATATCATCCAAGTACACTAGACAGAAGGTCCCTTGTAGGTCTGCTAAGACGATATCCATCAGTCTCTGAAAGGTACTGGTGGCATTGCAGAGCCCAAAAGGCATAACATTATATTCAAAAAGTCCTTTCTTAGTGGAGAAGGTGGTCTTGGCTCTGTCCTCCAGGTGCACTTCCACCTGCCAGTATCCAGCAGCCAGATTAAGGGCGGAGAACCACTGGGCTTTGGCCAGGAGGTCTGGTGTGCCATCAATAGGAGGAAAGGGATAGGCATCCTTAACAGAGACATTATTTAATCTATGATAGTCCACATAGACCTGTACACCTCTCCCTTTCTTCTGTACCAGTATGACAGGAGCAGCCCCCAGGGTAACAGAGGGCCTGATGATGCCTCTTTCTTCCATCTCTTGTAGCTGTTGGTCAGCTGTTGGTTGTGCCTGGAAATGGATGGGAACACATCTGGGGCCTTGCTTAATAAGTCTGGCACTGTCAGCATTGATGTGGTGCTTTGTCTGGCCTGTACGGCCCAGATCATGGTCTCCCAGTCTGAGTACATCAGTATATTGCAGTAGAACTTTCTGTGCTGCCCTCACTTGTTCAGGTTGTATGGTACGGTGACTTAACTCTTGTTCTAACTTCTCTCCTGTCCAATGAAGGTTAGCCTCCTGTTCTCCAGGCTGTTAGTATTGATCAGAATGTAGTACTCTTACTGCAACTGGCTTCTGGTCCAGGCTCCTCCTGCAAAACAGTCACACTGGTGGCAAACATCTTAAGTACCGTGCTTGGGCACATGGCCTGCAACTCTGTTGCAGTATTGGCAGTACGCACTGGGATTTTACCCCTGTGGCTGCTACCCAGTGCAGTCCCTGCCAGGAAGCCCAATCCATCATCAAGTTTAGGTTTGAATAAACCCTGCACATCTCCACAACATCATCATTTCAGTTTGCCAGTGATCAGCATCTCAGTTCGTGGAGGAATTGTTAGTCCTTTCTACTGTGACCTCACATACCCTGGCTTTGCCATCTCTGATATACAGGAGGAAATGCCAGGACAATGGGATTGTCTGTCTGTAAGGTCTGGGGTTTGCTGCAAGATAAAATTCTCAAATTTGAATCATTAGCTCCATTAGCTTCAGCAGAACTGCACCAAGGTTATATTTGGTGTCAGATTTAAAGCTTGATTTTTTTTTTTAAAAGAGTTGCTGGGTAGTAAACTAAGGCTGTCTTACCGGCTTCCGGCATGGGCTTGTTATTACAAAGACCATCTTCAGACAGAGTAACAAATACAAGACTACCTGAAGATACCCTCACTCTAAGCTTTGGCACCTCATTCAATATGCTGATGACTGCATATGCTAAGGAAAACCTGCAGACGGTTCTGGATCTCTTCACAGAAGGCTACCAAACTCTGGGCTTCTCTCTCAATATTGAGAAGCCTAAAGTGAGGGAAGGACCCTCAAGATAGTCAAGTGCTTGGTAGCCACCCCTCTCAGACAGCAGACATTGAGGATGAGATCCAGCACAGGATCTGGTGTGCAAGTGCTTCCTTCAGGAAATTGCTTTGGTGTATCTTTATTGATTGCAATCTCTGGAAAGACATCAAGATCCAGGTCTACAATGCAGTCATTCTGTGGATGTGAAGCTAGGTAACCTACTGTTGTCATCTCAGGAGCCTGGAAAGGTATCACCAATAATACAACAATCCTCCACATCAAATGGGAAGAACATGGCACAAACTCCCATGCCCTTGGTGAAGCCAGTATTACCAGTATTGAGTCACTGATCCTCAAGCACCAACTTTGCTGGACCAGACATTAAGGATATGCAAAATGGGCCCTATTCGATTTGGATTCGGCCCAAATCAGGGGCAGTGATTCAATTTGTTCATTCAGATCACTGTCCCAGATTCAATTCAGCTGAATCAGAATCCGAAGATTCTATGCTGATTCAGAGAATCCGGAAGTGGACTGGAAGTACTTCTGGGTCTGCCAGGGAGCATGCTGAGGGAAAGTGCTTCTGGTCCACTTCCAGGTCTGCTGTGGAGTGTGCTGGAGAGCCTCACATGTTTCTGTGGGACACTCCATGCACCCCAACATTGCAGCATTCATGAACCATCAGCTATGTAGAAAACACATTTAAAGCTATGTCTACGTCCAAATCTCCGAATCTTTTCGAATCTCTCCTAATCGATTTGGAGGGTTCCGATTCAATTCAGAGAGATTAAAGGGTCTACTGATTCAGTTTGCATTTGGAGATTCGGCCACTGAATCGGGCCGAATTTCCACCGAATTGAATCAGCGACTGAAGCTTTGCACAGCCCTACCAGATATTGTGTGAAGATGCCTGACTTTCAGCTCCCAAAATAAATGTTCTACTCCCAACTTAGTTGTGGCTTGAGATTTTTGCGATGGCCAAAGGAAACACTGCAAGGACACATTGAAGGCATACCTCAAGAAAATAGATGCTGACATCAAGAGCTGAGAGGACCAGACTGATAACCAACACCAATGGCACTGCAACCTCAAACAAACGGCAGCCTACTTTAAGGTAAAGTGTCTTGCCTTTGAAGCATAGAAGAGAGAGTGGAGGAAGGAAAAGGAGAGAGATCCTGGGCTATGGTCTACTCTTTCCTGTGGAAAGACTTGTAATGTCTACAGACAGATCTGTTGCTCAAGTATTGGACTTTTAAGTAACCTCAAGATCCATCAATGCCCTGTGGTAGAGATCAACCTCAAATCAAAGGATTGCAGATGACAGCTGAGTACTCTTAACTCTTATTGGTTGCTGATGCAGAAATGAGCATTCAGCTTCTTTAGAAAATTCAGTTCAAAACTCAACATCATTCAAAAAATCAGAAGCAGATCTGAGAACAGAAGTATGAAATCCTGATTCACCATATCCTACTGTAAGCACTATAGCACTGATCTCCTGGGGAATACTACTTCCTAGACTAGTTATTCTCATCCGGGGAAGGGGAGACATTCAAAGGAGCAAACAGCAGTTAAAGGCCTAACTCTGACTTATATTCACCTAATTCCCACTAACTATATCTTTGAAAAATTGTTTCCTGCATCTTCAAAGTCAAATATGTAATTAACCAGCTCCAAAACAATGTACTGATATTATCTGACTTTATTTCCTGCACCGTACAGAATATTTGTCAAGAAACTTAAGAAAAAGCAATCCTGTCCATCTGATCACTAGGGCTGCTTGTACATGCCATGGGGGTTTACTTCGGTTTAATTCTCCCTAAATTGAAGTGGTGGGGTTTTTAAAAACCCCACTTCAATTTAAACTGAAGTAAACTCCTGTGACATGTACACAAGGGTTGGGCGTGATCCTTACCTGCCTCTCCGGTGGCGGGGAGGGGGGAGGACGAGCTGCTGTTGGGCCAAGCAGCCCCTGAGCTGCAGGGGGGGCAGTGCTTCCCCTCTGCAGCAGTGGCAGTGCCTCCCAGATGGCACCTGCCTGCAGGCACCTGGCCCAGGTGGTCCCAGGGGACACTGCAACCACAGAGGGAAGCACTGGCCCCCCATGCAGCTCAGGCAGGCAGGCTCTGGGGAGGGGGGCAGAAAAAAAAAAGGTCAGGCTCGTTGCTTTTTTTTGTTTTTTCTTCAGTGGATCCTACCTGCATGGGCTGCCTGCACAGCCTGTAAGCTGCATGAGGACCAGTGCTTCCCTCTGCGGCTACTAAGGTAGCAAACTAAAACACTTCAGACACGTTTTATTTTGCTATGGCCCAAAGTCACTTAACATGCAATATGCCACCAGCAGTGTAAACAGCAGTGCCGTTAACATGTCATTAAAATCACCAGCAATGTAAACAGCAACACCATTATAGCAGTGCAGAAGGGCAGTTAAGCTGCTTTAAAGGCTAGTTTTGTGGTGTGTACAAAGTCCCCAAAATACATTAAGCCAACTGGTTGAATAGAAATAACCAGTTGGCTGAATGGTCTAGTAGTCACTCTGGGATTTTCAAAAGTGCTTGGTGTTGGTTTCCCTCTGTCCTTGTTAAAATCAGTTTGCAAGCATTTTTTAAAACCTCACCCTTATGTTTGCCTCATACTTTAAAAAAAGTTACTTTCAGGGATTGCATTTTGTGTTTTTTCTTTGCTTTGTTTCATTTCTGAGTCACAGCAAGCCCAGAATCTGGGATTTTACTGTTCTCTCAGTGGTTTTCCTGCCTTATTGTGTTTTTGGTCAGTGACAAGATTATTAAAATGTTGTTGTTCTTTTGTGATGATAGTGGGCTTCCTGCTCTCCCTTATTCTGTGGTAGGTACTTTATAGAACCACATCTGCTGTCTACAAACACTGCCACTTCAGGTTCCACTTGCACTTCACTTAAGATTCTTTCTACTAGCTTTTATTCTTTTTTCTCTGCCAAAAATTTATCTGAGATGATAATATATCTGTTGATGAGAGAATGAACAAACTCTGATCATTTAGGACTGTAGATATTCTGCAACAATTTGTTGGAGGTTTACACTAGCGACAATGAAGGAAAAAAGCAAGAAATAATCAATATATTTCTTCCAAACTGTGAAGTAAAGTGTTAAGTTGCTCAAACTTTAGGAGAAATATTTAACCATCTAATTTTATGTACCCCAGATCCTAATTTTATATTTTCTTTTATTAAAGGCATTCATCAGCAGAAATAAGGAAGCAATTTACCGGTACTGTAGTGCCAAGCTTTGGACAGTTCTGTAAACGAAGTATAAGTACTCCTGGCTTTTTTTCTCTCCAGCTAGTAAGTATTGAGTTTAGTTTTTTATTTATTGGTTTTACATTTATACTGCTTTATGTTTTTAGACTGAATTAACTGAACCCTTTTAAGGGGCTGGTCTTGCTTTTTGCTGCCCTCTGCATAAGGCTGTCATAAAACTACTCCAATGTGAATTGAGGCAATTGTATATCTGAAATTATTGTCAAGGGTGCCCAGAGCCTGAGACAGGCACTCACTTTGCAAGCTGGTATAAATCAAAGTAAATAAAGAAATGACTGTGCGTATTATGGCCTTGTGCTGGGATTGTTTTCAGCCCTGCCCTGTAGGCATGTATATGCATAGAAGTAGGTACTTTGTGTGCTGGCTGATGATGATCTTCAAAGATGGGTAGGTAGCTAGGAAGAAATGTTGCTGGGGTATAATTTTACCCAAGAACATGATTCTCATTTAACATAAGTGTATGCTGTCTGTTGCTAGGTAGAGGAGGACAGAGAAGCAATAGTAGGCTAAGCCCTTTTCCAGGGGTATGTGGTAGGGTTTGGTATGCATGCTTTGAAGGTCACTGGCATAGTTTTGCTTCAATTAGGTGTTGCATAGCCCCTCAGCCTTTTCTCCAAGCATCCAGATATCATAGAAAGGAGGGTAGCCCCTGTTTACTGGAACAACAGGAAGTAAAAATTTTAAGTTCTTTTAAAAAGCCTGCTACAAGCTGAAGACGTTTGTGAATACACACATTTGACCCTTTTTAGTAGTAAGAGAAGGCAAAGTCTTTGTGCAGTGGTAATTGTGAAAAGTGGAAACACTGTATATAAGCTATCACTTCCTGTGTGTCTGGGCTTACTACTAGCACTCACTTCCTCAATCTGAAATTGTTTGGTGTTCAACTTGTTCCTTGTGGTTATTCATCACGAGAAGGCAGGGTTTTCTTTTCTTTACTCACAGAAAACTGCTTCTGCTGTTACAAAACTTGGTAAGATTACATTTCCTGTAGTCGCCATTTTGTGCGCTGTCACAATTTACATGCTTCTAACCCATCAACCAAAAGGTATGTTTATAATAGTAATTTATGGCTATTTCTGTAGGGTGATTCATTTGCTCTGTAAGTGTGCTGCATGAAAAAGTATAGTGGGTTATTGTCAATGATTTGCTTTCCTTCTAAAAATCTGCCTCTACTACTGTGATAGTTCATTACAATCCATCTTTATTTACCTTTTGCCTTTTCTTTATTTTTATTCTTTATAATTTTGCAAAACTCCAAAATGTAGAAGCATGTAATTCAAATGATAAAGATTTATTTGCGATGCCTAAACTAAAAGTTAGAAGCTAAGTTAAAATGCGATTGATTTGGCTGCTCAAAATGGGCAACTGTGATATGTGATGTCTAATAGGCATTGTTTTGTTTAAAAGATACTACATGTTATCAGGAAACAATTGTATACTTTTCAAATTTATTTAATTTGTTTTTAATTTTCTATAAATTAATGTTGTTAGCCATGAAGTCTTAGTACTTAATGCTTTACTTACTGATGGAACTATAGATAAAGATAAAGATGGAACTGTAGATAAACTATAGTAAAGAATACTTTTTGAAGTTTATAGTGTTCAGTTAGGGAAGTGTGAGATTTAGTTCAATATTTTACCAAGTATCAGCAATGTGTTTGTCACTGATTCATATGCAAAGTACAGTTAGTTCATGTCCTGAAGGTCCGTAGTCTTTCAAGGACTATTTGACAGTAAGGATGATTAGGCAATCCCTGTCAATTTTAGGCTTTCCCATTTAGAGGGCACTGAGAGAGATTTTCCCAAAAGTTATTTCAGAGAAGTAAAATGCCTCTTATAAAAAAAATCCCCATTCTTTTCCATCTTATAGAAAAAAAAATCGAGTAGTTCTAAAATTGTAGGGGACCTTCTAGTTTTATTTCTGAAGAAAAGCGAGGGTTTTAAGAGATGGATTTATTAACCTCTGCTGTAGCATTTCCTCATAATATCCTGTTCTTTTAATTTGTTTTTTTAATGTATTTATATTTCACCTTCTTGTTCTAAAAAGCAAACAACAGGGTATGTCTGACTTTTTGGACTTATTACGTTGCCTTCAGAGTACTCCATTTCCAGTATTTAACCCATGTTTTCATTACTCTCTCAAATACCCACATTTATGGATGCGTGCCATATTAAGTGCAAAATGGCTTAGGCCAGAGATTTGATGAACTTTTTGACTGCTGAGCATCATTGCATCATATATAGAATGCAAAATTTCCCTGTTTTCCTAAGACTTGGACCCAATGATGTTGGATATCGCAGATGTAGAGGTTTGTGGTGAAATCTTGGATCCAGTAAAGTTCGTATAATTTAGTGAAGCCAAGCTTTCACCTACTGTATCAGGGGATTGTCAAAATCAATTTATGTTTTACCTTTTCCCATTAGAGAACCAGATTGGCCCAACAGGTTGTTATGGGAGAGTTACTTGGAAGGACTGGAAAGCCCAAGGATACTGATACAAGGGACAAATTCAAGTCTGTATTGGTCTTCTTGAAGTAATTCAGCATCACTTAGCTTTTTTAAAAGCAGTTTCATTTCATTAGATAGCTTGCTGGAATAGTCTATCTGCACCAGTGGAATGCCCAAGTAAACATCCTGTTATTGCATAGGATTCATAGGTATACTTGTTCACATACACGGAGTACAATGAGAGTAATACTGTCAACATTTTATGGTCAGAATATTGGGAAAGTTCATTTGCAGTACTATAAATCATACAACTGGGCATGGAGCATCCTGATACCATTATTATAGAGAAAGAAATGCATGCTACCAAAAATACCCTAAAATTCATAGAAGTGGAACATGCCTGATATAGAAAAGGGAAGGATAAATTAATGTCTAACAAGATGCAAACAAGACAGGGCAAGAATTTATAAAAAAAACACTCACTGAAATGTAAAATAACTGTAACCA